GAAAATTTGGGATTTTTGAAGAGTTGCCTAAAAATCCTCAAAAAATTTAGAGAAATATATTTCGACTAGCTGATACAAAAACATAACGTGTTGATAGTGCGCGATAAAATTTTTTTAAAAATTCGGTTTGAAAATGAGATTTTTCAAATATGTATCTCGAAAACGGTGATTTTTCTGTTTATCGATTTTGGACAAGTTGTTGAAATTGTCAAAGAAATGAAACAGAAAATAACATCTACAAGTCGAAACCTACTAGAATATATCTTTAGGTAATTTTCGAAATGTGTTCGAAAAACGATTCATCATTGAAAAATTTAGATTTTTTAAAAAGCGCCTTAGAAACCTCAAAGAAATCTGAGAAATAGATTTCCAGGAACTGATTCGAAAACGTAACGTAATATAGTCCAGGAACAAAATTTCTGGAAAAATTCAGTTTGAAATGGCCATTTTTCATTTTATCGATTTTGAAAAAATTATGGAAATTTTCGAAGAATTGAAATTGAAAATGAGTTCTACAGTGGAAATCTACAAGAAGATGCCTTTCAGTAATTTAAAAAAAAGTGGTGGAAAAACGGTCAAAAATTCTTGATTGAAAATTTGAGATTTTTGAAAAGTTCCCAAAAAATCTTCAAAAAATTCAAATTCAATCACTGATTCGAAAAACAACGTGATAGTCCGGGACCAAAATTTGGAAAAAATTCGGCTTGAATGAAAAATTCGGCTTAAAATGAAATTTTTGAAATATGTAACTCGAAAATGGTGATTTTATCGATTTTGAAAAAGCTGTTGAAATTTTCGAAGAAATGTGGCTGAAAATAACATCTACAAGTGGAAATGTACAAAAAATACCAAAGAGATATTTTTCGAAGTGCTCGAAAAATGGCCAAAAAATTCATCACTAAAAAATTAAGATTTTTTAAAAGTTGCCTAAAAATTCTCAAAAAATTCTGGGAAGTCGATTTCCACGAGCTGATTCGAAAAAATAATGTTTTGATAGTCCACGGCCAAAATTTTTGGAAAAATTTGGTTTGAAAATGGAATTTTCTAAATATGTATAGTATATCAAAAATGGTAATTTTTATTTTTTTGGATTTCGGAAAATTGGTTGGAATTTTCAAAGAAATGAAGCCGAAATTAACTTTTACAAGTCGAAGTCAACAAGAAAATGTCTAGGTAATTTTATAAAAGTGCTCGAAAAATGGTCAAAAATTCTTGACTAAAAATTTGAGATTTTTGAAGAGTTGCCTTAAAGTCCTCAAAAAATTTTAAGAAATGTAGTCGACGAGATGATTCGAAAATCATAACGTATTATTACGTATATGTATATACATCATATTATAAAAATTCGGTTTGAAAGTGAGATTTTGAAATAAATATTTCGAAAATGGTGATTTTTCATTAGTTGTTGAAATTTTTCAAAAAAATGAAGCAAAAATAATTTCTACAGTTCGAAATCTACAAGAAAATATCTTTAGATAATTTTCGAAAAGTGCTCGAAAAACGGCAAAAAAAATCATCATTGAAAAATTGTGATTTTTAAAAGTCTTCAAGAGTCTCAAAAAATTTTGAAAAACAGATTTGCAGGAGCTGATTCAAAAAAATTACGTTTTGACAGTCCAGGGCCCAAATTTTTGGAAAAATTCGGTTTGAAAATGGAATTTTCTAAATATGTATCTCAAAAATGGTCATTTAAATTTTTTCGAATTGGAAAAATGGTTGGGATTTTCAAAGAAATGAAGCTAAAAACAACTTCTAAAAGTTGTAATCTTTAAGGTAATATCTTTGGGTAATTTTCGAGGAGTGCTCAAAACAGTCAAAAAATGTATTATTGAAAAATTGAGATTTTTGGAAAGTTGCCTAAAAATCTTCAAAAAATTCATAAATACATACGTGTTGATGATCCCGAAGGAATATTACGTATTTTTAAATGTCCCGAAAATTGACATTTTTCATTGTATCGATTTTGGAAATTTTGTTGGAATTTTCGAAGAACTCAAGAGAAAATAACTTACAAAAAGATATTTTCAGGTGATTCTAAAAAATAACCTGGCACCGGACTCAAGTTTTCCAGAAATTGAATTTGAAAACAAGGTTTTTGAAATATCTCGAATTTGGTAATTTTTCATTGTATAGATTTTCAACAAGTTGTTGAAATTTTCAAAAAATGAAACCGAAAATAATTTCTACAAGTAATTTTCGAAAAGTGCTTGAAAAACGGTCAACAATTCTTGATTGAAAATTTGATATTTTTGAAGAGTTGCCTAAAAATCCTCAAAAATTTTAAGAAACACTGCGACCAGCTGATTCGAAAAACAACGTGTTGATAAGTCCCGAATCAAAATTTTTGAAAAATTCGCTTTGAAAATGGAATTATTGAAATATCTCGGAAATGGCGATTTTTCATTTTATCGATATTCGACAATTGTTAAAATTTTCGATGAAATGAAGTCGAAATCTGCAAAAAAATGTCTTTCAGTAATTTTCGAAAAGTGCTCAAAGAACGATAAAATTTAAGTTTTTTGAAGAGTTGCCTAAAAATCTTCAAAAAATTCAAAGAAAGATATTTCAACGAGCTGATTCGAAAAATATAACGTGTCTCGGACCAAAATTTGGGAGAAATTCGTTTTGAAATGAAATTTTTAAATATGTAACTCGAAAATGGTACTTTTTCATCTTATCGATTTTGAAAAAGTTGACATTTTCGAAGAAATGAAGCTGGAAATGACTTCTGCAAGTGGAAATCTACAAAAAATATCTATGGGCAATTTTCGAAAGATGCCCGAAAAATCATAAAAAAATTAATCATAGAAGAGTTGTGAATTTTCAAATGTACCTCAAAGATGATCATTTTTCATTTTACCGATTTTCGAAAAATTGTTGGAATTTTCGAAGAAATCAATCCGAAAATACTTCTACTAGACGCGAATGTAGCTTTAGGTAATTTTGGAACGGTGTTCGAAAAACGGTCAAAAAATGCATAATTGAAAAATTGAGATTTCTGGAAAATCGCCTAAAAAATTTAAAAAAATTCTAATAAATACACAACGTGTCCCAGTCCCAGGACCAGAATTTTGGAAAAATTCTTTTTGAAAATCGTCGTTTTTCCATTTTATCGATTTTGAAAAAAGTGTTGGAATTCTGTGAAGCCACAGATACCATATACAAGAAATTGTCTTTAGACACCTGATTTTCAAATGACGCTCGAAAAACGTCAAATATCAAAAAATGAGATTTTTGAAAAATTTGCCTGAAAGTCCTCAAAAAATTCTGAGAAATAAGTTTCGGCGAGCTGATTCGGAAAACCTAATGTGATGATTGTACAAACGAAGTCGAAAATAACTTCTACAAGAAAATATTTTTGGATAAAGTTTCAAATGGTGCTAGAGAAACCAGTCAAAAAATTAGTCATTGAAAAATTGAGATATTTGAAAAATTGCCCAAAAATCCTCAAAAAATACATTTCGAGGAGTTGATTCTAAAAACATTAACATGGTCCTATACCAAGATTTTTGACATTTGACATTTATTATTATTATTATTAGAATGTGTAAATATTAGTCAGTATTTTAAAATATAAATATTAATTATAAAATACTTTCGAAAATTGTATACTAAAGTCGCCAATAAACGGAAAACCAGCATTTTCATACTCTACAAGCTATTAAACTCCAAAAAAGACGAAATGACCCTATTCAATATTACAAAACTTCCTTTAGTTTTAACAACAAGCAAAACCGTATCGTTGCTAAGCAAAATTTTGGTTTTCTTACTATCGCGTTTTTTATTTTTTAAAATCAAGTTTCTAAGGCTTTAGTCTTGATTTTATTGTAGTTACTAATTTTATTTTGAAAATTAAGCGCAAAAAAATTGAAATTGTTATTTAAGGAATAGATTTTAAGGGTTATAAAATTTTACGTTTTCTTGATGTTTCAATTTCAAACCTTACATTTCAGCTATGATGATGTTCTGCGTGTTATACTTCAAATGTGTATAGGGTAATTCCACAAAGAAAGTTCAGTTTAAACAATTTTATGCTTCAAATAAAAATTTAAAAAAAGTAGAGGGCACTTTTGTTTGAAAGAGACTTCGCTTTCATTTCCGGCAAAACCGGAAGCGTTACGATCCACTTTATGATATCCATAAATTTTATTGTTACGTTCCCGGAGATTTATTTCCTGCACAACAGTTTTCAGGGAACGCTTTTGTGTTTAGTAAACATGCGAATAAAGCATGAAGGTATTTTTTAATAATTGTATGTCACCTAGCAAGATAAAAATATTTGTCAACAGTTCCAGTTAGACAATTAACGCAAATTGTCAGCTCTAATTGTCTACTCAAAGCCTGACACACAAATGTTTAAATTAAACGACAAAAAATCAATTTTAACGTGTTAGTTAAATTTGCAAAACGCTTTGTGACTTCGTCAAATATTTAGTTTCCATTTACGACCATTTACATTGCTCGATTAGTACAAATGACGAAACTATAAACCTTACTAGAACTATGTATAGCAGAGAAAATATTGACCATCCCGTATGTATCACAATTTTACCCAGTAATCTTCTCTCCCCCAAATCTCGGCCGTTTTTGCGCAATATGTATCCGATTACAATCAGAAACACCACCATTAAACCTAATCTCCCTCCCTGGTCCATTTTATCTGGCATTATTTCCGGCACGAACTTCAACAATAGAACGAGCTTTTCGCCGCGAGTTTGAAAATCGCTTTTCTATTTCGAATGTCTTTGTTCCACCTCTTATCGCTCACGATAAATCCCACAACCCCTCACGCAACAAAGGTAACCAAAATCCGGCAAATTCCACGAACGAATTCCCTTATCACTTATCAAAATACGCGCAATAATATTTATTTAAAACAATAAGATTTTCAACGCAAATACACAAGGATGCGACGCCGCACACAGGCGCATACTTATCATTATCAAACCTTGAGTAAGCAAAGTTCATGTGACCGCTAACACCGACCATTCTTGTTCCAGGCCTAACGAAGAAACTTACGCCGCTAAAACACTGGAGGGCAGCAAATTGAAGTGTCCAGCTCCGATATCCCGTCTCAGGGTGGAGAAGATCGAGGGCGGCCTCATGGTGGCCGGCGTCGTGGTGGCGGCGAACTGTCAGATCATTTTACCTATTTTCGGTTTCTTATTCCTCTTAGTTGGCTGTGTTCTTACTGGTAAGAAAAACGCTTTTTTTAACACGGTTAGATAATGCGATCGTTATATTGTGTCTCGTTCGCGGAAATTGCGGGATTAAAAGGCGAAATGAGGGTTGTGGGAAAATTGTAATGTGACTCACGTTTCAAACTCATTTCACACGGACTGAAACTCAAACGTGAGAAATAACTATTGTGGTTGAAAAATGGCTTCATTGTGCGTGTGGCGTATCAGTAATTTATAGATTTAAAGAAGTGATAGTCCTTGAAACAACTTTTATTTCAATACTGACTTTTAATTACGATTTTTTCGGAAACTCCGGTCACGAATGTGCCTGTTCTCGAGCACTTTGATGCCAAGATGTTCAAAACTACGCGACTGCCAAATGGCTGTCTACAATCTACTCGTTTTTTACGTGCATGTTTTGTAACATTCGCCCTTGGATCGTGCTGCAAACGATCACAAAAATGTGTACTTTATTGATGTGTAGTGAAATTCGACAAAAACTATGTCCGGTGTAAATAGACATCTGGAAATATAGCATTTTGACTTTTTGTGAATGTTTCTTTAAAATATAAACTATTTTGGAATAAAGGTGCTAAAATTTCACTTTCATTGCTTGATTTGTTCGGAATTTTTGTATTCTATTGAAAGTGGTTCCTTGCATTGTCCATTACAGTAACACTACTATGAGAACAACAAACAATGAAAGAGTTGTGTCAAATTAAGTAATAAAAAATCTGTAATTTTGGGAGCTTAACCGGGATAGTGTCGAATTGAGTGATAGAACAATAGAACGAATGCGTAATAAGACTGATAATCGTGAAAGTGACAGAAAGCTATTTCTGTCACGATTATATTATATTATTATAGCTATATAAAAAGCTTTGTGGATTTTGTGAGTTTACATTTCCGGCTTATGAAAAGTTAGAACTAGAAGTTGGGTTTCAGAGGATAAGAACTAAGTCCAACAAATCGCTTGTTCGATTATAAAATTTTATTTTGGGAGAATATCGAAAAATCGACAATTCAGTGAATCAAATATTCTAAAAAAACGAGAATCCAAAAAATCGAAAAACTGAAAATTCGAAGAATCCAGAATCGGAATATTGAAAGTCGAAAAATCAAAAATTCATAAATCGAAAAGTCTAGAAATGGAAAAAATTGAAAATCCATAAATTAAAAAAAATTACACATTCAATTATCGAAAAATCGAAAGTCAACAGGTCGAAGATTCGATGAATCAAATATTCGCCACAAAATCGAAAATTACAAAAGTGAAAATCCGAAAAATCGGAAAGTCGAAAAATTAAAAAATCGGAAAACTGGAATATGAAAAAGTTGAAACTCGAGAAATCGAAAAATCGAAAAGTAAAAAGTTGAAAATTCGAATATCAAAAAAACGAAAATCCGGAAAATCCAAAAACCAAAAATTTGAAAAATCCAAGCATCGAAATACAGAACAAACGAAATATCCGAAGTCAACAAATTGAAATCAAGAAATCGACAACAAAATGAAAATTCTAATATCGAAAAGTCGAAAAATTGAAAAATCGAGAAATTGTAAAAGGAAAAGTAAATTGAGAATTCGAAAAAGTGAAGAACTGAGAATCCGACAGTAAAAAATTGAAAAATCGAAAAGTGAGGAATAGAAAAATTGAAAAGTTCGAAACAACGAAAATCCGGAAAATCCGAAAACCGAAAATCTAAAAATTCAACATCGAAAAACCGAAAAATACAAGCATTGAAATACACAAAAAACTAAATATCAAAAGTCGACAAATCGAAAAGTCGAAAGATGGATAAATTTGTTCAATTTCGAGATTAAAAACTGAAAAGTCTAACAACTGAAGAATGTAAAAGTTGAAACATCGAAAATTCGAAAAATCGATATGCAAAAAGTTGAAAAATCGCAAAAATTGAAGAATGCAAAAATTGAAAATCGAAAAGTAAAAACAATTGGTTCGTTTAATAACTTAAGAATGAAAAAAATTGATAAATCAAATTTAAAACAATTCAAAATCGAAAATTGGAAAAATCGAATTTAAAAATTGAAAAATTCAGAAATTGAAAATTCTAATATCGAAAATTCGCAAATCTAAAATCGAACATCAAAAAACCAAAAAGTGTAAAAATTCGACGTCGAAAAATCCAAGCATCCAAATACAGAAAAAAACTGAATATCAAAAGTCGATAAATCGAAGATTCTAAAATTGAAAAATCGAAAAGATAGAAAAATTGAAAAATCAAGAAATCGACAAAAAAAATGAAAATTCGAATATCGAAAAGTTGAAAAATTGAAAAATCGCTAAATTGGAAAAAAAAATTGAAAATCCGAAAACTGAAGAACGGAAAAATTGAAAACCTAATAGTAAAAAATTGAAAAATTTGGAAATGGAAAAAGTGTAAGAACTGAAGAATGTAAAAGTTGACACATCGAAAATTCGATGAATCGGTATGCAAAAAAGTTGAAAGTTCAAAACAACGACAATCCGAAAACCGAAATTTCAAAAGTTTAAAAATCGAACATCGAAAAGCCGAAAAATCAAAAATTCGAAAATCGGGATTTTGAAAAATCCAAGCATCGCAATACAGAAAAAACTCAAAAATTCTAAAATTGAAAAATCGAAAATTCGAAAAACCGGAGGATCTAGAAATCGAAAAGAAAATAAATTGAAAATGCGATTAATCAAAGTTCGAAACAACGAAAATCCGGAATATCCGAAAACGAAAATTCGAAAATCAAAATTTCGAAAAATCCAACCGTTGATATACAGAAAAAAAGAAATGGCAAAAGTCGACACATCGATAATCCTAAAATTGAAAAATCGAAAAGTCAAAAGATGGAAAAATTGAAATCAAGAAATCGACAAAAAATGAAAATTCGAATATCGAAAAGTAAAAAATGGTTCGTCTAAAAATTTAAGAATGAAAAAATTGAAAAACCAAAATTCAAAAAATTCAAAATCGAAAATTGGAAAAATCGGATTTAAAAATTGAAAAATTGAGAAATTGAAAATCGAAAAACTGAAGAATGGAAAAATTGAAAACTCAATAGTAAAAAAATGTCAAAATCGAAAAGTAAAGAAAGAAAAAAATTGAAAACCCAACAGTTGAAACATCGAAAATTGGAAAAATCAAAAATCGAAAAATCGGAATGTAAAATAGTTGAAAAATCGAAAAACTGAAGAATGGAAAAATTGAAAATCGAAAAATAAAAAAAATGAAAGTTCGAATATCGAAAAATCCAAAACTAAAAAAATTGGATCGTCTAAAAACTGGAATGGAAAATTGAAAAATCAAAATTCAAAAAATCGAAAATTGGAAATACATCGAATTTATAAATTGAGAAATTGAAAAGGAAACAAACTGAAAATTCGAATATTGAAAAATGAAAAATTCAATGAATAATCATTCGAGAAAACGAAAATCCGAAAAATCGGAAAACCGAGGAAACATCCAAGAATCGAACAGAAAAATCGAATGATGAAAAAATTGAAAAATCGAGAAATGGACAAAAAAAAATGAAAAACAGAATACCAAAAAATCGAACATTCGAAATTTCGAAAAACTGAAAATTTGAATAATCTAAAGTTCGAAATATTAAGAATTCAAAAATTCGAAAAATCGGAAAGTTGAAAAATCGAGAAATTGGAGAAAGAAAATTAAATTGAAAAGTCTAAAAACTGAAGAATGGAAAAATTAAAACATCGGAAGTTCGAGAAATCAAAAATCGCAAAACTGGAGAATGGAAAATTTGAAAATTGAAAACTAAAAAATTGAAGATTTAATATCGAAAAATCCAAAAGTAAAAAAATTGGATCGTCTAAAAACTTAAGAATGGAAAAATTGAAAAATCACAATTTAAAAAAACAAAAATTGAAAACTGGGAAAATCGAATTTAAAAATTGAAAAATTGAGAAATTGAAAATTCAATGAATCAAATGTTCGAAACAACAAAAAGTCGAAAATTCTAAAATCGAAAAATTGAAGATTCGAAAAATCAAAAGATGGAAAAATTGAAAAATCCAGAAATCGACAAAAATGAAAATTCGATCATAGAAAAATCGAACATTTGAAATTTCGAAGAACTGAAAATTCGAAAAATCGGAAAGTTAAAAAATAGAAAAATTAACAAATTGGAAAAGGAAAAGAAAATTGAAAAATCGAAAAACTGAAGAATAGAAGAATTGAAAACCCAACAGTAAAAAATTGAAAAATCGAAAAAGTGAAGAATGGAAAAATTGAAAATTGAAATATAAAAAATTGAAAATTTGGTTATAGAAAAATGAAGAATGGAATAATTGAAAAATCGAAATTCAAAAAATCAAAAACCGAAAATTGGAAAAATCGAATCTACAAAAATCCGAAAAATCGGAAAACCGAGATTTCGAAAAATCCAAGAATCCAATTTTAGAAAAAACGAAAAGCCAAAAATTCAAAACTCGAAAAATTGAAAATTCGAATATCGAAAAATCGAAAATTCCATGAACCTAATATTTGTAAAATCGAAAATTAAAAAAAATAATTATTTCTGAAAGTCGAAAATTGCAAAATCGGGAAATTGAAAAAGCGGGAATTAAAGAAATTGAAAATTCGGTTTTAGAAAAATATACAAAACGAATAACTGAAAATCGAAAAATCAGAAATTACAAAAATTGAAAAAAACTCAAGAAATCGAAAATCGAGTGATATAAAAATCGGAAAAGTGATGAATGAAAAAATTGGAATGCAAAAAAATTGAAAAATCGAAAAACTGAAGAATGTAAAAATTCAAAATTGAAATATAAAAAATTCAAAATTTTAATATCGAAAAATGAAAAATGGAATAATTTAAAAATCAAAATTCAAAAAATCAAAGATCTAAAAATGGAAAAATCGAATTTAAGAATTGAAAAATTGAGAAATTGAAAATCCGAAAAATCGGAAAACTGAGATTTCGAAAAATCGAAAATTTGATGAATCTAATATTTGAAAATTCGGAAAGTCGACAAATAGCAAAATCGAGAAATTGAAAAAACGAAAATTAAAAAAATTGAAAATTTGGCTTTAGAAAAATACTTATACAAACGAAAAACTGAAAATCGGAAGAGCATTCGCAGAAGTATCTTATTTTATAAAATTTAAGTAACATTTACTAATGCAAATTTTTTATGATTAGCCAAATTTTGGTTAGCGTTGCAGTTTACGTGATCTAACGCACATATAATATTTGACAACAAAGTAATAAAAATCCGGACAGACGGCAAACAGACAGACATACAGACGGAAATAGTAGCCATAGTTTTTCGTACTCTAGGGTTCAGCTATTAAAGAATTAAAATTTATTTACAGAAAAATAACTTGAAAAGACTTTAAAGTAACAGAAGAAGTAATTTTGAAAGAGTAAAACTGTAAAGTGAAAACTAAGTAAAAGAGGAAATAGGCGCCCAAGATTGTAAGAAACTCCTATATTAATTGGCAACGACTGGCACTTTATAACAGAAAACAAAGACATCAAGAACTGACCCCAAAAAAGACAATAAAAATAAAAACTCAGCTTTAGAGAACTAGTTCAAAAGCAAGAAATGAAAACAACATAGAACCGAGTTAGAAACTTTGAAACAAAAGAGAATAACAACCTCAACAATGGAAGTTACATAAACTGGAACAGGGATTAGCCACCATAGAGTTTATTTTTTTTATTATTTAAGTAGCTACAATTTCAAATGTTAGTTTTTTTTTCAGAGTTTTCATCTCAGTAGGGATATAATTAAAAGCAATCCAAAATACGCTGAGGCATTTTTATACTTAACCTTTATAGAGATAAATGTTAGTCACTGACCGGAAGTTTTTAAAGAAATTAAAAATACCTAGTTTTTTTTCACCCCCCAAGTTTGGACTTGTTTCTAAAGGGGTACCTACGTCACAAGGGGAAGCCACCCTAAAGTTACACATTTCTAGGTCCAGGAGTTTAGGGTGAGCGTTGATTACTCACTCAGGACTTTATGTGCGAAAAATTCTTATTACTTAAAATGTTTTCTAATTTCTTTAATTGTAATTCACTGTTGCCAACCCATCTTGAGTGACAGGCAGTGCGACAAACCATAAAAAATTTAAATTATTTAATTATCAACAAAACTGCAATTAAACACACGTTGATCAAATAACTGTGTTTTTAGAATGGATATGTTTGTACACTGTTATTTCTAGGAATTTAGTTTCTTTTATGCTTTGTATAATACACATTCTTCTTTATTTAATTAGTAAAGATAGGTAGCTTTCTCTACTATACGAATGTACGAATTTACTATTTCTGGATAAGTACTTTCATATTTCGCTTTCTGTTATTTTTGACAAGTTGGTATTAGATTTGACCTTTAGTTATCAATTAATCCAATTATATAGTTTTTTGGTAGCTACTCAACATCGACAAACAACTACAAAAAGCCAATTTGAGTGTTCAGCAGTTGGCTGCAATTATCGATTTCACAAGATCGATAATGTTAATTTCCCACTTTACATGGGTAATAAGTACGTTAAGTGAGTGCAATCTAAAATGAAGTGTCTGATTTAACGTTTATAAATTCTTTCGTAAGCAACCCTCGTCTATTTCCGTGCATTTACAACGCGTGACGATTTCCTCTAATTTAACATAAAATTTCCTTTAATTACAGCTCTACAAACAAACTGACATCTCTGTATACAAAAGCTTAAGGAACAAAAGAAAGGCATTTGTGTCAAAGTCCACACGAACAGTTCCTGATAACGAGAAAAATACCCGTTTACACTCACAGAATTTGTTATTCTTGGAGTTAAAGCAAAGCCGTTGCACAATCGCTTAAACATCTAAATTCGTGTGGGAAACGATTTCCGTTTCATTTAGTACCCATCTAAAATAATTACTTTCAAATCGTTGCGAAACAACACCTACACTAACAATAAAATAAAATAAATCTGCCTGTAAAATTCGCCGATGAAAGTTCTAACAGTTTCTATTGTTCCAGCTGCATCTTATCGAGGTCCCAGCGAAGGCGAAGAACCCGAGCACTATGCAGCAAGAATCGCGTTTACGGGTAATTCTCGAATCTTAGGACCAACTTGTATTGTTGTTGGTGTGCTAATGTTAGTGGCTGGTTTCGTGCTTTGTGTTTTAACGAGAAGGGCACGAAGACGAGAACAGACTATCGGATTTCACTGCCCCCTTCATGGTGATTTTTACCCCCTTAGTCCAGTAACTAGCTCAAGAACAATAGGTAAATATTTTTCAGTTTGTGTGTTTTAATTGCGATTAAAAAACAATTTGTTGGGGCGAATCAATTTCGTGTTGGGGAAATTGGAGGATGAATCAGTGTGGGTGGAGGTGTCTCTGTTGAGTGATCGATGATAAGGTTCTTGATAAGCTCTTCCCACACGGTGTTGCTGTGTTTCGGGATCGAGACGCGATAAGTAGCTGTTTTTGATACAATTTTCTGGCTGGTGGGTTTCATTTATTTGGGTTTGTGGTCTGGGGGATTAATAAAAGAAGATATGAGACCGGTGGAGAAATAAAGTAAATAATTCGTGTGTTTTCTAAATAAGGGAAAATTGGATGCGCGGAGTCGGGTTTCATTAAGTTTCTATTATATCACAACAAATGCTCAGTTGTGCATTAAATTCTTGATATTAGAAAGTTAATTTTATGAGGATACGGTAAAATATACACTAATAACATTGTTCGCGCTCATGCGTTTCGTTACGTTTCGTTTTAGATTCAAACTAAACGTATCATTATTTTTTTTATCTTCAAAAATTCATGGCTGTCTTGATTGTGTTTTTATTGCTCTTTCGGTTCCATATGATCAGAAAAAAGTGCTCCAGTAGGCCATGGTATTTTATAAAATAATTACGTAGGCATTGCAGGTATTTGACAGTTAATCAGATAGCGATAGAAAAAATATATAATTTCAACTTTTGCCAAAAAATGGAAAATTGGATGTCAAGAATTTGATGTATAATTAAGTTATATCACAACAAATCCTCAGTTCACTAATTTTTTTACAATAGACAGTAAAATTTCTAACCCAACTAAAAATTGTAAAACAATGTTTTCGCTCATGCATTGATTTATTTAAGTTTTATTCTCTGCAAATTAATAAAATGAATAAAAATAAAATCTCAGAGAGCGGTGACAAAATAACGTAAATAATTCCTGAGATTTTTAATTTGACTTAGGAATTTACTTTAATGTCTGTTATATATGTATGAATGAACTTCAAGATTACGTTTATTTTAAGAGTTTGAGATCAAAATGTAAACTACTATCGAAAAGTCTTTATAGATCGTATGTGGATACTGTCAGCGTTTCCATTATTAACAATCCTAATGTCTTTTGGAAATTTATTCGAGAAAGGAAAGTCCCTAACAATATTCCAGAAGAAATGTCTTATTTAAATAGAGTGGTGAATGGTGGTAAAGAAGTTGCCAATTTGTTCGCAGAATTTTTCTCATCGGTCTATATGGTTAATGATTCTTCTAAGATAATTGATAGTCAATTTAAAGATGAAGTTATTGATACGGGTTTTATAATAACGATTAAGGATATATTTAACACTATTTCTTCGTTGAATGACTCTACAAATGCTGGACCAGACGGTTTAAGCAATGTATTCTTAAAAAAGTGTATATGTACTTTATCAATACCACTATTTATGTTATTCAGCAAGTCCTTGGATACTGGTGTATTTCCTGATGTTTGGAAACTGAGTTATGTTAAACCTATTTTTAAATCTGGTCAAAGGAACAAAGTTGACAACTATAGAGGTGTTTCCAATCAATCGGTTATCCCTAAAATTTTCGATTCCATCATAGCTAAGCAGTTACAGTGGGCAGTTTCAAAATTACTTACTAATCAACAGCATGGTTTTTGTAAAAATAAGTCAACATTATCCAACCTTTTGGAATATTATTCGTTTCTCAATGAATCATTTGCGAATAAATGTCAAGTGGACGCTGTTTATACAGATTTCGCAAAAGCATTTGATCGAGTGGATCACAATGTATTAATTTCAAAGCTTAATAGACTTGGTTTTAGAGAATATTCCATAAAATGGGTTAAATCGTTTCTTACTAATAGGTGGCAACAGGTTAAAATTGGCAACCACATTTCTGATTATTTTGAAGTTACATCTGGAGTACCCCAGGGCTCACATTGTGGTCCAATTTTATTTCTTCTTTTTATAAATGACTTGAGTTATTGTATTAAATCTTCAAAATTTCTATTCTATGCAGATGATCTAAAGATATATAAACAAGTTTCATCCATAACTGATTGTCAGGAATTACAAAAGGATTTAAATAATATATATGAATGGTGTGAAACAAATTTTTTAAAACTGAATTTAAATAAATGTCATAAAATTACATTTTCTAACAAAAAAAATATGATCGATTATGATTATTATATTGGGAAAAGTTTGCTCAAGCCTGTTAGTGAAATTAGAGATCTCGGCATACTTTTTGATAATAAACTCTCTTTCAAAAGTCATTATCGATACATATTTAACAAGGCTCTGCAGATGTGGGGATTGATTTGGCGCCATTGCAAGGATATGAGCTCTCATGCACTTAAAGTGCTATATTGCTCTCTCGTGCGTTCTGTTCTGGAATATGCTTCTTCAGTTTGGCATCCAACATGCGACACTCATATTTCATTGTTAGAGCGTGTTCAAAAAAAGTTTTTGAGGTCTATTGAATTTAAAGAACATCATCTACATCAACAAGGTGAATATGAATGGGTCATGAGCTTCCTCAATATTAAATCCTTGGAGATACGTAGAGATATAACGGATTTATGTGTTCTTCACGCCATTATTAACAACCATATAGATAGTAATGACTTATTAGCCAAACTAATGTTTAGGGTTCCAAATAAAAACTGCAGAACTACTAGATCTTGTAAAATTTTCAGAATTAACAAAGCATCTACTAATATGTCAACTAACCACCCATTGCGAAGAATGATGAAACAAGCAAACGAACTATCTAATTTTGTAAAATTTGATATTTTTAACTCAAACCTTGTTGTATTTAAGAGAATGATAAATAATCTTGTATAATTCGGATAATTTAAAATTGTTTCTTTTTGTGTTTATTGTATGATCATTGTTATAAAGATAATTAATTAAGTTAATCATATACCTTATGTATTTGTAAGTTTAATTTTCTTACTTTTTGTAATTGGAGTTATTCCGTAATAAACTAATAATAATAATAATAATAATATAAAAACAAATGCTCAATTATGGGCCGATCTCTTTACGTTGAGGAGTAAATTTTCCTAAAAATTGGATTTTTTTTGGCTTATACAATCATTTATTTAAGATATCAGGGAGCAAAATAATGTAAATAATTCCTACTCTTTCCAAACAAGGGCAAATTGTATATACAGAATCAGGAATTTACTTAACGGTAAAGTTGAAAAGACAATTTTCTGAGGATACGCTAAATTTAAATATTTTTTTGTACCTTAAGCATTTCGTTTATTTAAGTTATATGCTCTGTAAAATTAAAAAAGAAAGCTATAATTATTTTTTATATACAGGGTGAGTCACTACGCCCACGGTCCTCGATATCTCATTAATTATTAGAAATACAAGAAAAAGTCAAAGACCAAAGTTGAACGGTTCTTTGAGAACTATACTTTAAAGTTACACAACTTAGTTTTTTTTTTAATGAAACGCACTATATATTTTTAGTTTTGAAATACCGATACAGCGTGGCCACGTTATTCCAATTTTCCTGAATTTTTTTTAGCAATGGGTTCACAAAAAAAAACGCAGAACGTTATATTTTGGCTTTATTTCTTAATATACATTGTATTCTTTGAACAATCCGATACTTAAAAACATGTATTTATTTTTTTGTAAAGAATGAAGTATTTTGCAGTTAAGCTCCGCCCTCTTGGTTCACAGCGAATAAAAAAGATCATCACAATTGAGATAGGGCGGGTGGGCGGGCTTACATTTTACCTTTTTGTTTTAATATGTGTAGACTTCTTTTCACAACATGAAGCTTAAAACATGTAAAATTTGGATAAGGGAATATCGATTTTGCAATTAGGCTCCGCCCCGTAATTGCAAAATTCATATTTCCTTGCCAAAATTTAATATTTTAACCAGGTTTTAAGTTTCTTGTTCTGAAAAGATGGCAATGTATATTTAAAAAAAAGACAAAATATAAACCCCGTCCACCCGCCCTATCTCAATTGTGATATTTTCTTATTCATCGTGAGCAGAGGGCGGAACTTATTTGCTCATTTTTCTACAAGAAATTACCATGTGAAATATGTTCTTCAACAACAGTGTTGTTCAAAGAAAACTAGATGTATTTCGTAAAGAATTGGTTGAAGGCCATTTAGAACTTCCCTCGCTCCGTACAATACAAAAAATCTAGCGGTTTCGGAAAATTATAATATTTGATTTTACGAATTTTATTTTATTTTATTTTTTTGAAGGCCCTTATAAGTTTTGCAAGAACACATATATCAATTTGCATAAGTGCAGTGTAATATTAATAATAATGTATTCGCATTTTTTTCGGGAAAATGGAGTGAGTCGTTCTTGATTTAATCAGTGCAATAAATTGCCTCTTTGTTAATTTTTTTGAGTCACGCTGTATAAATAATTCTCATTTTAAGTTTCTTGTTGTGAAAAGATGACTGCACATATTAAGAAAAAAAGGCAAAATATAAGCCCCGCCCACCCGCCCTATCTCAATTCTGATGATTTTTATGACTACACATATTAAGAAAACAAGGCAAACTGTAAGCGCCGCCCACCCGCCCTATAGCAATTGTTATGATTTTTTTATTCGTCGTGAGCTAAGGGGGCGGAGCTTAATTGCAAAATCCTTATATCTCTACAAGAAATAAAGAACATGTTTTTGAGTATCGTGTTGTTCAAAGAATACTATGTATATTAAGAAAAAAAAGTCAAAAATTAAGCCCCACCCATAACCATCCTAAGCTTAAATTTGATGAATTTTTTTGAAACATTCGAATTAAACTCAGGTTAATATAAATCTATTAAATATATTTTTCTCAGTTTTTCTTTTTTTGTATCTTATTATTAGCTAAGACGTGTAATTAATTTCTCTCATCTACATGATATTCATAATACACATATAAAGTTTGACAACAAACGGCTCGGTAGTTTTGAAGATTATCTGTTTAACAAAAAAAGACAGACGGCAGACAGGCAGACGGACGAAACATTGA